TCTCTGCACACCTGAAGGTACCGGCAGAGGGACAAAGCCACGTGGGTTCCGGGGCCGAGATCTCCAAGCCTACTCGGATTGGAGTTGAGCATCCTCCACCCAGATCCTCCAAATTCCAGTAGGCGGGGGTCACACCCACCAACTGGCCCCCTGGCGCCGTGTAATCCCATCAGCGGCCAAGACTCAGAGACTATAAAAACCAGATCCCGGAACCGCGTGGCCGCGACATCTCATTCCTACTTTGACAAACTGGCAGGCTCCCGAATGTAACCTGCCCACACGGCAGAGTCTGGCAAACTCCCTGTGTCGTACCCAATATGCCAAATACCAGTAACAATGATGGGTCTCATTCTCCTAAAGAGCCTTGAATATAATCTCAAGGCTAGGATGAAGGAGACGTTACTGGGGCCTGCTCGAGGCAATCGACAAATAACAGGATGATTTGTGATCTGTGATCTGTGATCATGAGCCAGGAGTAACCCCTGTGCATTGCCAGGTGTGACCCTAAAAGAAAAAAAAAATCCCTGTTGTACCAGGTGTTAACCTCAGAGGCACTGGAACTGAGGTCTGGGAAGTCTGACGGAAAAGGACCAAGCCACCTAGGTGGGTTCCCTTTTCACAGTATTTTAACAATTTACTCAGCTGAATTAAAATATATCACTGTATCATTGTCATCCTGTTGTTCATCAACTTGCTCTAGCAGGTGCCAATAACGTCTCCATTTGTCCTGGCCCTGAGATTTTAGCAACCTTTCTTTAAGATATATATATATATATATATATATATATACACACATGACCATTAGGCCTTATCGTCTCCATCCTCCCTGCCCTCTTCCTCTGATACCCTTAGTTCTATTGAAGAATCTGCCAGTACTAGGATTTCACTGCCTCGTGATAAAATTGGCTGGAGTTGGTTCATGGATACCTATGAGAGGGATTTGGGCCCTTCATTGGATTACTCTTCACTTCCCCTATGCATGCCTATTTATCCAAATCTGCTTTATTCACTTTCACTCATTTCTGTGGACGATAAGGCCTAATGGTCATATATATATATATATATATATATATATATATTCATATATGTATATCTGCTGAAAATCAGACCAAAGCTAAGAAACATGCCACTTTTCTGCTGGGTGAGACAAGTTTCTCACTATGGCTTTCCTTCATTTCTAAAAGTAATAGACAGCCATTCTGTATGTTCAGGGTTACTGAATGAGAACTTTGCCGTTGCAAACCTGATGATGAAATTTTTATTTATCCTTGAATGGAATAGCAAGGAGGCAGAACTGGCTTTTTTTCCCTCCTTCTATTCATGTTTAATAAATACAGAAAAAGAGAATCTTAGGTATTTTTTTTCTTCTTTAGACAAGGACATGAAAATTCTCAGTTGCTGTGACAAATGTACTAGTGAAAGTTCTTTTTAACCCTCCCTTCCATGAGAGGAAAAAAAAATCTGTTACATATTGATATGCTAGGCTTCCAGTCCTGAAGATTCTGATTTCACCTACACAAAAGACTTTTTCCCTCCTCCACTGAGATGTGATGCTTGTTCTTTTGTGGATTTTGTTATTTTCATTTTGTTTTGGAGTAAGTTCCTGCTGATACTTAGGGATTACTCATGGCTCTATAATCAGGGATCACTGCTCTTGGGCTTGGGGAACAATATGGGAAGCTGAGAATGGAACCTTGGGGGACTGCGTGCAAGGCAAGTACCCTACCTGCTGTACTATTTCTCCTGCCTCTCTTCGGTGATTTTTGTTTCACAGACTGAGAAAGAAAGTAGAAAGAGGCTATACACTCTGAATCTTTAGAACCTAAATCCACAGAAATGAGTGAAAGTGAATAAAGCAGATTTGGATAAATAGGCATGCATAGGGGAAGTGAAGAGTAATCCAATGAAGGGCCCAAATCCCTCTCATAGGTATCCATGAACCAACTCCAGCCAATTTTATCACGAGGCAGTGAAATCCTAGTACTGGCAGATTCTTCAATAGAACTAAGGGTATCAGAGGAAGAGGGCAGGGAGGATGGAGACGATAAGGCCTAATGGTCATGTTAGAGGGATATAGTACTTTGCTGGTGAGTGTGTTGTGGTAATGCACATTTGTGCCTATGTGAAAAACATCTTCCTAAAACATCCTCTTGTAAAACAATGTTACCATAAAAAACAAGTTAATTTAAAACCCCTAATCTGGTCTTGTGTATACTTGTTTGGAGGAGGTGGGTGATGTGTGAACTTTTAAGTTTGAAAATATCATGCAGGCTAAACTAAGCACATCTGGAGACCATGGGTTAACCATACTTGGGGCAAGAGATTGTTACGGAATTTAGAATAGAAGTGGAAGAGCTGTTGTGTATTTGTGATGAAACAGCATGATAGGAGAAATGGGGGTATCCATGATGCTTTTTTAGCATACTTAAGATAAACTTGTGAAAGGCTTTATTTTGAATCAATTTTAAATTATTGGGCCATGCACTTTTGACAACATTCTGGTTCTGAATTATCTGGGTCACTCACTGTTCCTCAAGTAAGTTCTTCAGAAAAGGGAAGAAGAACATTTTCTTATCTTTATTAGCTACACAGAGAGTTGTCTGGCCACCTTATACTTTATCTTCGTTGTCTCTTTTCTGTCCAAAATGTGATGAATGATAATTCTGAGCTTACCTCCAAAGTTAAACTGACTCAACATCTTTACATCTGGGAAAATTTCTTCTTAAATAAAACAAAACAACTAAACACCAGGTTGGCTGAGTGACAAAGAGATATGAGGCAAAGAAAACCTTATTGAAATCAGATAGGAGAGGCAAGACTATGATCTTTTCATATCTGCTTCTCTCTATGTTATCTATCAACCTAGAACACAAAACTCAGAGCTTCTTCTCGAAGAGCTTCACCCCTGAAGGACTAGAACCTTATACCAGGAACTTCTGATTTTTAAAACAATGTCAAGAGATGAGCCGTATAAACTTTTGTTTATCTGGCTTTGGGTGCCACAGCCAGTAGTGTTTAGGGTATATTTCTGGCTCTTTCTCAGGGATCACTGCTGGTGGGCTCAGGGGACATAAAGGGGTGAAAGGGATTAAAACGGGGCCAGTTTGTGGGCTGGAGCAATAGCACAGTGGGTAGGGCATTTCCCTTGCATGCGGCCGCCCCGGTTTCGATTTCCAGCATCCCATATGGTCCCCTGAGCACTGCCAGGAGTAATTTCTGAGTGCAGAGCCAGGAGTAATCACTGTGCATCACTGAGTATAACCCAACAACCAAAAAAAAAAAAAACCAAAACAAAACTGGGTCAGTTTGAAGCCATATACAAAGCAAGCACCTTACCTAATCTCAATGGCCCCACTATAAACTTTTGAAAACCCAAAGGTGCCTATTTTTATTCCCAATTCCAGCAGTCTCAGAAATAAATTTTTTTTAGGCCTCAGAATTCAGTAGTCTGAGAAACTGTGCTGAGATCTGCTTAGAGGTAGCTGGTGGGACCCAGGTTGGGGTAACAGATATACAAGTAACCAGTTTATATACAAGTTCATTTAATTAAACATATAAATGTAGCAGCTTGCTGAAACACTTACCAGGCTGTTGTGGATTCTCTTTACAGTGCTCCAGAAAACCATTTTTTTCCTGTAAAGAGCTTTTACAGGCACAGTGCCCTGAGGTTTGTGGCTGCCATCTAGAGAATGCCTCCAAGAGGACTTTGCTAGCTCAGGAGGAAAGAAGAGCCTTCATACTGGTCCCTTGGGATTATTAATCAATGCCAGCCAGACAGGAGTTCAGACTCCTGTTTGTAGCCTGACTTCTGTCACTCCTATGAGGGGGACAGTTCAATTCTAACTCACCCGATACTGGTGACCAGTGAGGCATACACTTGTAGGTCCCACAAGTTTTTAGATTGAGGACTTGTTTTCGGGGAAGGTCTGAGCTACACTTGATTGTGTTCGGGTCTCCCTCCTGGTTCTGTGCTGAGAATTCACCCATAGCAAGTCTTAGGGAACCAAATGAAGAGCCAGGGATTGAACCTGGGTCAGCAGCATGCAGTGCAAGCACTTTATCCACTGAATTTATCTCTTTGACCTTAGTAAACTGAGTTTTTATAAAGCTTTTACTCAGGCACCGCAAGAAGAAACAGACAGAGGAGTTTATCTTGCTGGTAAAAGAGCTTATTAAGTCAATTAGTAATCATCACAGCTGCTAACTGAAGGGCATATTTGTAATTCAGGGTTAACTCTGTCATGTGCCAAATTTTGATATCTCCTGGGTGGTTTGTTTTACCCCAGCTTCTGCCCAGATTGAGTGGCTATTGGCCAGAAGTCATCCTTAATTGCTTGCCTCTTGTGGGGAGGAGCTTGCCTTTCTGTTTTTTTTTTTTTCCATCACTGTCAGAGACAATGATGTTGGCACAAGTCCAAGCCTGCAAAGTTGGCTTCTCACCCTGGAGTATTAATCTGAAGTGTAGTTCTCAGTATTGGTACTATTCCGTGCCTGATCTACCTGCTCCCAAGGTTGTAGAAGCCTTAATACTGTCATGAAAGGGTTGGCAATGCTGAGACAGAACTAAGAGTTGGGAAGAAAAATTCCCGATGTCTTCTTCTGAAAGTCTGGACCCATCATTGGAAGCAGATTTTTAATGACAGTTTTTGATTGCCTGGATCCAGCCAAGCCTGAGGCAGATACTCTGGGTTAGTTATTTACTTGATCTAATGAATTTGCTTTCAGGCTAAAGTCAATTGGATTTGTGTCTCTGTCACTTGCATCAAATAGCATCCTGTTCATGGGGGTAGTGCAAAGGACCTAAAACAGATGGAATACAGCAAATGGCTGTAGTTTCTTTCACAGTTTATTTGGTTGGTTGGACAGAGTAACCCCAGATCTCTCTCATCTCTCTCTCTCTCTCTCTCTCTCTCTCACACACACACACACACACACACAGACACATACACACACACGTGTGTACCCACACCGTTCATCAGAGAAGAAATGATCTGAAACTATTCGGTGACAAGCAATTTTATTTTGCAAAACAATCACTATACAGCAACAAATACATTTGCAAATTCTGATTGAAAAACATGAACTAACTACAACCAGCCATTGAAGAAATGCCTTTCTATGGTAACAGGCTCTAGAATTATCAGAAGAAAGAAACCCCCCCACAGATTTGTAGTGGCATGTTGGAACCTTGGAATCCCAGCATACAGAGTATACTTTTTGTTGATTTTTTTTTCTTTTTGCTAAAGTTGAAGTAGATTTCTATGATTGACATTTCTGAGTTTAAAAATAAACTTTTTCCCCGCAGACATTTCGGAGTTTAAAAATAAACATTTTCCTGCAGAGGGACTTAGCCTCAACCCACACACCCAGGCCAAAAATCCTGGGTTTAAAAACAAAAACATAAACAAATCACATTAATACTGATTTTAGCATATCTATATCTGAAAGAATGCTGAAACCTAGCCTTTTATGCCATGAATTTGTCCTTTCTGTATTGGGTTGGATGGGGGAGCACTTGGACACTGTCTCATTAATTTTCTACCTTTTGGTCACATGAAAAATCGGAGCCAAAATACATAACTACAGCTTCTATCTGAATTCTACATTGAGATCAATTCTTTCTTAATACTGACATGGCTGTGAGATGGGCTGTTGATCCTGTTTCCTGCCATAAACCATGTAAGTGTGTGGAGAAGCTCATGAGCACACGAGTCTATGCTTCTACTTAGCAAAGTTCTCCCTTCCACCTTCTTCAGCCAAATCTAGTTATTATTACACAGGTGTCTTGCTTGTGGGTGGGACTGCAACCCATCACCTGCTGGAAGTCAGCAGGAGAATCCAGAGAGAGTTGGTTCTGAAGTGAACGAGGTCTTTGAAACTCATCAAAAACTCGGATCTTTCCTGCATCATTGTACAGTGCCCAATTTTTGGTTGCAGGAGACCCAGAGTGAAGGAGTTCCATGGAAAAAGTGGACCTTTCAACTCTTGTCAGTTCTGGATTGTTACGTTTCCTTAAACAGGTTCTCAAAGGCTAAAGCCAGAGAGAAACTGGCATTGATAGATCTAGAATTAAAACCAGAAAGCTTTAATTTCTAGATCAGCGTATGGATGCCCCCACAAAAGTGGTGTTCTAAAAGCTTAATTTGTGTCGTTAATCTTGAGAGTGAAAGTAAGATAGGTTTCACCCCTTATTCCCACAAGAAGACTCTAGCCTGTGGTTTTCTCTCTTTTACTGTACACTGTGAGTTTCTTTTGCTAATTTTTATAAGGAAATGCACTTCCATGTGAATTGAGAATTTTTACTTAATATAATTTACAGTGAGAATAAATCAACATTATAGTGCCACATAATAACTGGATGCCTTATAATTTTATTTTGGACATATTATAAGAAGCTTAATTTTAATATTTAATGTTTACTTAAGTTTTAAATGTTTTGTTCCAATTGAAAAAGAAACTTGTTTCAGTGCTTAACTATTCTGACCAGCTGTTCAGTTCTTTCTAGAGAACTTTAGTCAAGTTCTAACACACTCAAGCATGAAAGAATATACTATCAGTGTCCACATTTCTGTTCTTTCTTCTGTTCTCTAGTTCATTTCAAGGGAAACTAAAGAATAAAATTCCCACATTGCTCAAATCAAATCAAATCTCATATTAGGCAGAACTAGTAACATCCCAAAGACTTAATAGCTTCTAACATTTTTAACTTGTATAAAATAACTGAATTATAAAGAGTTTTGGACATATCTGCCTCTGCAAAACCTTCGTTGAGAAGAATGGTGTTAATTTGCTCTGAGAGGTGAAAATCACATTGGATGCAATATCCAGGGGTCAAAGAATGCCACCTAGGGCTATATTTTTGCATCTCTTAGTTTGTAGATGCTACTATCCTTCTTATCACCTCAGTCCATGATCATTTCCCCCTCCTTTTTATTTGATTTTGCTCAAAGAAATTAAAAATCTACGGGAGCTTATGCCTTCAACTATCCAGATCCAACCTACCAGTCCTGAGCAAGTAAAAGAACAGATAAAATACTGAAAGGAATCCACCCAGCCTGGTCACTCAATACCTAATGTCAGCCATCTGCTATCTCACTGCTTACTCATACAATTAAGATGAATGATTGGTGAGAGGAGTCAACTGATTTGTGATTCTAGACTGTGTCTAAAGTCAGAACAGTTTTATCTACTTATATTTAATGTTGGAATTCTGAAAAAAAAACTTTTGATATCTGCATCTCAATGTTTTGTAGCTATAGCTGCCCAAAATACTGCATCTCTGGGGTCAGGGCTAAAGCTTAAAGGTTGAAGCATATACTTTGCATAAGGAGTCCCCTGTTTAATCTCTGGCACTGTGATTCCCCAGCCACTGCTAAGGGATGATCCTCAAACATCAAGCAGAAAGTACCTCTCAGCACTGTCAGGTGGGACCCCTAAGCAACACAATCTTTTTTCTCCCCCTTTATGATCAAGAGATCTTTATTTTGGGTAAGAAAGAAAAAAAATCTCCCCTCAGAGAATAAACAGGTTTGACTTAAAAGAATAGAATAATAAGTCTCAAATTCTTACTAATTTCAACTTTAGCAAGTGAGAAAAAAACCAAAAAGAAATCCGAAGAAGTCTGTTTCATGAATGATTATAGAAATAAAACCCAGATCATTCTGTGATTCAAAAGAAGATAAGGCCATAATCTGAAACCAACAATCTGTAAACCCTTTATGTATAACTGGACCCACCCCCACAAACTCCATGTTGGTGAAAGCAAAGAAAAATAAATTTCTCTAGCATCAAGGGAGAGACTTGTATCTGGCACTAAAACAGGGTTACAGCTTTGAGTTGTTACAGAAAGCAACTTCATGCTAAAACTTTTTATCGTTTTCAATGTATTTTTTTAAATAGGGAAAGGACCCTGCTAACATCTACTTTCACATACCTAAAATTGCAACACCAAAGGGTGCAGGAGACACAGATACTGTGAATAAGGAAGTATAATATTCAAGTATATGAGGAAGTATCACAAATGGCCACAGAGAAATATATATATATTTATATCTATAATACTGTATCAAACAGATGGAAAGGGGGTATGAAACTGGTAGTGTGGACACAAATCTAGCTGATCAACTGACATTCTAATCAGACACGAGTCCATCCTAATGAAAGTGCTTCATTCCTAAGAGATGCACTTGTATACACCACTTCCTCAACCACAGCTCAAATGCTTCGGAACTATTTTTTAATTAGTTAAATAATTTATTGGACTGATTTATACTCTGCAATAATTATCCAGGTCCCAAATGTTAATAACTTAATTGAATCTTTCTTCCCATTTATACAAAATAACACTTTAAAAAAACTTATTTCTTACATGTTCTTCCCATCCTGCAATCAGACTCCTTGATTGAATTTAACCTGCTGTAAGTTACAACGGGTAACTTGTATCTTTTCACCCAGCAACAGAATAGTGAAATGAGCAGCTTGAATTTTATTTTTTTTAACAAGGCCTTTCAGAATGTAGTGGATAGCCTTCAGGCACATGAAAGGTAAAAATGCAAATTTTTTAAATAATAATATTCCATGCAAAACAGAGCAGAACAAAAGTAATTGTCCGATTGTACTCATGTAAAGCCAGTGTCTTCCTGTTGCAAATGGAAATCAAGTCAGTTTCTGCATATGCTAATCATTTTTTTTTTATAAAATTGTAACAATGACTACAGTTCGGGAATGAGATTATTTATTTTATGGTTTGTAAAGGATGGATATAACACCTGCTCAGAGCCCACTCCTGCCAAGAGCTCATGCCTAAATATTATTACATCAATGCTAAATGAGAAGTATTCACAAGCCCTGCTTAGCGAGTGCAGCAGTGACATCCTCAGCCAAAGTAGCGAGCTGAGGAGATTCGAGCAGGTTGATGCTTCCCGAGGAGGAGACGTTGCTGAGTCGTCGGGGGGACGCCACGCTGGATCTGCCGGGGGACTGTGTAATGATCTCAGCCCCGTGGTCTACACGGGCCTTAGCATGCTCTCGGAAGTTCAGCTTTTGGCTGTCAATCTGTTCAAGACAAGCATCAGTGCTCACAAACTCATGCATCTTAAATGGCCCCTGAGTGCTTTCTCTATATCCCAGAACTGGTACTAATGTCACTTCTACTCAATTCAGTCATCCCTACTTCCCACATGTTAAGGCCTTGACTGTGAGACCCATTTTGAAGAAGAGTGTTAAAAAGGATTTAAAACAAGACTACAGGATTGGCTTGTGACCTTGCTCCTTACCTTGACATTACCACCCCCAGGAACGTGGTGAGCATTGTCCAGTGAACCCACTTTAGCTTGGGCCTTCTCTTTGAAATCCAGTTTTACACTCTCAATTTTCACACGCCCACCACCTATGAGAGAAAAAAAAGGATTTTGAATGTGTCACTCAAATGAAATCTTATATTTGAGGTAACAATTTCCTCAAAACGATAAGAGTAAATAGATATTTATAAGCTACAAAGTTAATTAATCCTATCCTTCTGACCACAGCTGTAAAAAGAATATTTCAAAATTTGTAGTCTACATTATTTTCTTCACAGAATCCATAATAATAAAATCCTTTCTGTAATATTTTATGAACTATTATATATAACTTTCTCCTCTGACCAAAAGGAAATGCAAAAGCGTTTTTTTCTTCTCCATATAATGAAATAATACAATGAAAAAAATTCTATTGACTTCTTTCTAAAACTTGAAATATTCAGTCTATTATTCTAAGGGAACAAATTAAACTTAAATGAAACTCTTCTTTACTTTTCCTTATGGTAATACCAGTAGGTCACTTGTCCAAAATGCAATTAGGATAGAAATGGTGCATAAATGAGTAATGTATTCATTTGTAAGCTTTCAACATTGATAGCTTGACTGCTGAGACTGGAGTTAAGAGTTAGTTGGTTTGACTAGAATGCTTTAAGAACATCCATTCAAATCAAATCAGCAGATAGAGCGATAGGAAATATCTGGATATATCCTTAGTAGACTCTTGTACAAATGCACATGCCCATTATGACACTACCTGATGTAATACTAAGGCCTAGTTTTAACAATACCATTTTCTGAAATGCTAACTAGTTTGAAACTCAAGATCTGCTACAGATGAGATTATCAGTTGACACCTTTAGTTTGGTCTGCCGATTTCTGCATGTCTTCCCCCTGTTTAAAGGCATGGAGAGATTTACACTGAGGTGCTTTTTTTTGGTTGTTGTTGTTGTTTTTGGGTTTTTTTTGTTGTTGTTTTCCAGTCCTTGAGCACTTCTGAATGCCTTCCACAAGGCCAGTGGAAAATGATGTGTGACTTTTTAATCATCACTGCATCTCTTGGGATTTTGATTTAATAAAATGACTTGAGGAATTCTATGGAAATAAGGAAAATACTCCACCCCCCAATTTTGGTCTGCTGCTGCTTCATGTGCCTCTGAGTTTCAAAGAGAAAGATCTGCTAAGATTTCACAGATCTGTTAAACTCTACGGCATTTTGCTCATGTATTACTTAGATATTTATTATTAATGCCCAGCAACTGATGCAGGAGTCTCTTAAAGTTATATGGTGTGATCAGATCATGTTTTGAAGAAATATTCATTCTTTTTATGAGAGTTTAGCATATCATGATGTTATTTCACTCATTCTTGGAGAAAATACGTAGTTGCTATTTCCTTAAAATAGCATCAGTCAAGAAAGTGGTATTCTACCAACATTTACCAAACCACATGGGCATCACACACTGGTTGTGATGGTAATGGTACGATTCATATATACGTATTTTGATTTAGAGCTGGAGTTGGGAATATCTGACCTGCAGCTTTCTCACTGACTGCTGAGGCTCTGTATGCCTATACTTTATTGCCCACAAATTATTTTATAAAATGGTCCTTGGAAAAAAAAATGAAAAGGTTTCCCACCTGTGGTTTAGAGCCTTTCGCATACTGAGTTCTCAACAAGATGAAATGTACTCCTTTGGGATCTTAATTTTGCACTGTTTTTATAGCTTCTAATTTGATTAAAAACTCCCTTCTCAAGCTTTGCCCCCTGCCTGTTAACTATATAACCCTTTAAACTTTGGTTAAACTGTTAAATTCTGAAAGAGAAGAAAAAAATAATGCAATATACGCCTTAAATAATATATATTCACAACAGGGATCTTAAGAAGTGCACTTCTGTTGAGGTCCTACTAGAAAATTCTATGTAACCATTAGAGAAACCCTTTGGAAATCAGAGATCAAAATGATATATTCTGAAAAATTTTGGATCCACCAGGAATAGTAATTGTGAAAGACTAAAAATCTTTTTTGGAGAGGAGACATGGCCAACAGTATTTATGGCTATAATTTTTTGGGGGTTGGGGAGAATTCCCCACTAGTGCTCAGGGTCCAGGGGACACTCCAAGCAATAATTGACCTTGCTCCATGGCCTCAAGGTTTGGTGCAGTGATGCTATGGGCCACTAGGGTTAAATCCCATGGTGGCTGGATGTTCCAAGGACTGAACAAGAGGCCTTTGGAATGTAAAGCATCCTCACCTTTGAACTATCTCCAACACCAGAAAGACGATAATCTTTATTAAGATTCATTTGTCCTGAACTAGGGTTGGTCAGATCAGATATTTCCATTAGTGTCCCCAAGTATTAACTCATTTTTATATTTTCTCCCTAAATATTTCACATTTCAGAGTAACTTTGGAAAATGATTGCTGTTGTCAAGGGCTATTGCGCTAACACATATTCATAATTTAGTCATTTGATTCAACTGCATAGAAGTCAGATTTTGAAATAAGTGCAAGTCTACATCCTTGTTATTCAGACCATAAGTGAATTTGACTAAAGATATACTTAAAAATATTGTCTGGAATTAAAAGATATAAGACTGAAGAAATAGTTCGGGGGTTTATAAGCTTGTCTTGGATATAAATGACACTGATTCCTTTCCCAGAACCACATATGGTCTCCTGAACACCACCTGAACACCAACAGGAATTCCCCGTGTACAGAGTCAGAGTAAGCCCTGAGCACTGCCAGGTGTGGTGCCAACCCCCCGAAAAATACAGAATATATATTTGTTTTTATATTCTGGAAGAAAACAGGTACTGTGGTCAAATATTTCAGTTATGCTGCTAACAATATAGTGAACTTTATGTAGTATTCAATTTCGATAGTGGAATTAAGACAACATGCAATATAAGAACACATTTCTGCTGTCTCATGAATAACGGAGAGGCAAATTCCAGTGAAAAGTTCTGAAACTAGTAATATATACCCATTATATGGTTTCAAACTTCTGAACTTCCTGTTTGAATATCTGTTTCCTGTATGAATATCCTTTGCCAAAGTGAAGGTTAATTTCCAGTTGTTTTCAAGGTACTTGCCAATTATGAAACTTATCCGATCTAGCTTTCTCAACTAATAAATTCTTCTTAAAAACCTTATGATCTAAAATCTTACTGGATTCAAAAACTGTCTTATTCATTCTTCTGATAATATTTGCGTTCATGAGTAACAGGGATAATCTCTTACCTGACTTAATCAAGACGCCAAGACTAGATTGTTAAAATCAATTGCTTCATCTGTGTTTCTATACTTCAGTGGTATAAAAAATTATGTCAAGATATTCTCAAGAAAAAGTGAAATTTTATATTTACTTGAATATACTAAAATATAAAATATGAATGCAAATATATGTAACATGTGATACTGAAAATAAAACCCAAAACATGCAGGATTCAAACTTTAAAGAGATGAAAGCCCTGAAAATACAAATATAAATTCTACTTTGGAATACTAATCTGTGTGGTATTCTAGGAAAACACAAATCTTTTATGGTCAAATAAACTGGGGAAGCATTACATTCTGTTGACGATTTGTAGAGCTTATTAACATACTAAAGAATATGGAAAATTCATCAAACTTCTTCAGCTTGGCTTAAGTACATTCCTATTTACACATAATGTAGAAAACCCAGCTCATGAAAAAAAATCACTGAAAATATAGCTTTTGTACCACATTGACTATATATGAACACCAAATGCTGTTCTTAACATGTTTATATGTCACAGTCTTTTAGTATTTTTAGTACATGGTGATAAATCCCTCTTAATATCGTTTGAAATTTTAACTGATTGCATGGTATGTGGCCACTCTCTGGTAACTGGGCTCATCTGTCCAGAGTATGATGCCTAAGTTCCAGAGTATGATGCCTAAGTTTCTAACCTAAGTTTGTATAATACTCTCCACTGTCCTTCCGTTGTTCATCAATTTGTGCGAGTGGACCCAGTAACGTCTCCATTGTGAGACTTATTGTTGCTGTGCTTGGCATATCGAATATGTCATGGGTAACTTGCTAGTCTTTGCTGTGTTGGTAAGATACTTTCAGTAGCTTGCCAGGCTCTCCAAGAGGGGCGGAGGAATTGAACTCGGGTCAGCCAGGTTGGCCACGTGCAAGGCAAATATCCTACCGGCTGTTCTATCGCTACAGCCCTTGTATGATATAAGTATGAAATATGTATAATACAAGCATGAAATATGAGAATTTTGAAATATCCTTCAACAATCGCTTGCTAGTTTCTAAAATCCAATATATTATTTTTTAAAACTATGAAAAATCATTTCTCTACCTGGCCTGTGGCGAATATTCTTCAAAGAACCACATTTGGAAGTCACATGGCTTAGATCTATCTTCTTGGTAACAATCTGTACCTGTGGGAACCATATGAAATATGGTTAAAATAGCTTAGACATGGATAAAATTCCCCAAACACATATAAAATCTAGAAACATATATACATTTAAAACACCACAATGTAGCTAGAACCTACATTGAAGTACATACATTCACACAGGGAAACATAATCGCTCATATGTTTTCCCACATATTTGGAATGAAAAAAGCACCCAGTGAAAGATAATCCTAGAACAAAAAGTTTTTATTAGTAGAAAAAAATCAGCCACAAGAGATAGAAAAGCCTGCATTAATAAGGCAAGAGAATTGAAGCATACCATGTTAAATCCTGTCACAAGCAAAGAGCAAGATAAAGAAATAAATATTCTTTAACCAGTTTTATGTAAAATAATTTAAATTGTTCATAGAGAAAAGACTAACATTGCCTTAAGATAAAGTGTTAAATACATGTTCCTAAAATATTATTGCCATCTCCTAACTGAAAAGAATTTCTCCAGCAATCCAAACCATAAAATGTCAATGTTCACCTATTTTTTTCTTTATTCAAATTATGTCCTCTCCCAGTATCTGAAATATTGCTTCTCCAAGTAAGGTTCATTGTCCACTTGTATCATAAGTACATGGGAACAAAGGAATTACTGAGATATTGTGCAAACGCCTGCATATTTGCAAGGTTCATGTATGAGCAAGTCATTGTTCATTGTAGAAAAATTTAAGACTTTTGTTTTGGAAGTTGGAATCTCCCCAAATTAAGAACTTTAGTTATCTTTTCCCACTTAGGTTTTTTGATGATATGATCTGAAGCTGAGGTTTGTTAGACTACCTTCTGATACCCTCATGTTATTTATCAGGACTAAGACTGTGTCTGTGAGAATATATATGGTATGTCTTACTTCTGATGGTGCTTCGGGACCATATGTGATGCCAGAAATTGAACCTAGGTTAGCTGCATGCAGGGCAAGAGCCTTAATTCCTGTAGTACCTCTTCAGCCCAACCATGTTTGTATGAACACTAACTCTTAAGTTTCCTCTATAACCCTTGATGTAACCCTGAAAAAATTAAATGAACTTCCCACAAGCAGAATATTTTCAAGCTTGTTGGAGCTACTTTTATTTTATTTTATTGGTTTGGGGGCCACACCCGGCAGTACTCAGTGGTTACTCCAGATTCTGCACGGAGGAATTACCACTCGTGATGCTCAGGGGACCAATATGTGATGCTGGGTATTGAACCTGGCTAGGCAGTGTGCAAGGCAAGCACCTCATTTGCTGTCCTATCTCTTGAGTTCCAGGGTGGAGCTACTTTTAGCATTAGATGACAGCTGCTGGCAGAAGGGAGTAGCTGTCATCTCCTTTCATTGCCCAGTAGAAGAGCAAGGAGTCAAGAGTCATTAGATGATTATTCTGCATTTGATTCTCTGTAAATTACTTGGTCTACAGATAACTGAAACCTACAGCTGGGTCAGAGGTCCTACAGAACGGAGAGCATAGTTCACAGTTTTAATCATTCAGAATTTATGAAGAACCATGCTTACTTGAGTTTGAGGTTGTCTCAACTCTGCATCAGCTACTAAAAAACATGGATTTAATTTGTTTCTTATTCTCAGAGGGTATTACTTCCACTCAATAGAAAAGACAGGAAAAATCTCATCAAGACAAAATGTATCCTGGGACTGGAAACCTTTTCCTTTGAATTATAGATGATCTTTGCTTCACCAGTTTTGTATTATTCCAGCTGATATCCTAATGCTCATGAATAATGAACTACTTTGGATGCTTTCAAGTGTATCAGTCTTTGCCTCAAATATAATTAAAATGGAGCTAGGAACATGCGTGCTCAGACAGTTTTGTCAGCACTGTCAAGACCTCATAAGAAAATACCTGGAAGCCAAAGACCCATAAACAGTGCATCTCTGAAAGAAAGGTGGGTTTGCCATACCCTACAGATCATGGGACATCCGATTGAAATTTCCTCCCTCTACTGCCTCCCTCTACTGTAAACAAGAAATTCAATGATCACTGCATAAGAAAAGACGGTAAGCCTTTCACCAAAACTGCAGAGCTGACAAGTCCCCAAACCTGGGGTAGAGGTGGAGTAGCAAGAAGCAGGCAAGTGTGCTGGCAGAGAGGCAGAGGAGACACACAGTCTGCAGGGGGCTCCACACAGTCAGAACGGTTTCTACTTACATTTCCGCCCCCAGCAGAATGTTTGATGTTATCCTTGGAACCACATCTTGACTGAACCTTGCTAAAATCGATCTTCTTGTTTAAAATCCTAACCTAAAAGGAATTGGAGGTAACTTCACTGCATTTTGTTCATGTAGTACGTAGGTTAAAGGAAACCAGAATGGGGAGTACCCAAAAGCTTCCAGACTCTTTTGCATACTCATTTAAGAGGAAAACCTAACACTGGAATCGAGGAGCAGATGTACCATATAAAATAGCAGCCCTTATTCCCCTGCACTCCCAAGGGCCAAATGAATACCAGGTAACCCAGTTGTAGGCAATTAGAGGGACAATTAGAGGGAGAGAAAAACTTGAACTGTGATTAGCAGGAGGCTTTTCTAGTATGGGTAATACTGGGTTTAGGTCTAACTCTATAAATCTCTAAGAGAGGTCGTTGGAATTCTGTGGGATATGCCTGTGGCCCACCTGCCATAACCTCATCTGTAGAATCAGCCACCACAAAGAGAAATTACCTTCTACACCTGACCTCTTGGCCAACACTTCCCAGGTATGGCTTATAATGGGACTAGCTGAATGTTAGAGGCTCTCATTCATCCATGGTTTAGCTGGTCAGGTACTAGGTACTAGGTCAGGTAGAAGCTGTTCAGGCCTTAGTTGGGCCCAGAGTATTTGAGGCTGGGTGCTATATTTCTATTTCCAGGAAATTTAATATTAATCTTCAAGACAACAGCAGGTCCATTCCTATGTTACTCTACTATAGTGCAATAAATAAAGCAGTAACTCTTAATGATGTTCTTCATGTGTCCTTTGAATTTTGCATAATTTGAAGGGTTGATAAGAGGGTCAACATAGAAAGAGAGGTTTATTTTATTATTTAACTTTACTTTGGCTTTTACTATTTCTTTCCCCACTCCGTGCCCAAAATCTAGAGACAAATTGTGTTCTCAATATTGTAGGGGACAATTTATTCCCTTAAATATTTTAAAAAGAAAAACAAATCTATCCAAGTTATACAATCCTAGATATCCAATAGTGTTATCACAATGCTTGTTATTTGTTAAAAAAGCAAAAAATAGAGAAGACATAGGATCCTATTTTTAACTAGATACAATTTAAATCACTATTTTAACAAGATAGCTTGTCCCCAACAGGAAAACATCATTGGCATGTCTCATTGGTAGCCTAAGGGAAGTGACTCTTGTCAAAATCTGAATTCAGAAGTCAATGACAACTGAGTCACTCTTTTTGGCAAAATAAAAATTCCAATTTGGAAAAGAAGAGAAATCAAAGACTCTACATAACAATAATCATAGTTGCACTGTGTCACAGAAAGTATAGATACAGAGAAGGGTTCAATAAGAACCATTACATATCAAGTTTCATAATTTGTAAGAGCAAATCATTTCTATCTATAATTCCTAGCAATAGCAGTTTAAATTGTTCTCCACAAGGATATCATTATTTTTACAGTTAAATAAATACTGTCACTTTTTTTACTTCTTGAGAGTTAAACTAAGGCTCATGTTTTAGTTACAATTTTTTTTAAGATTTTATTATTGAATCACTGTGAGATAGATCTTTACATCTGTTAGATAGATCTGTTAATAATTTGGTTTCAGTCATACAGTGTTCCAACACCCATTCCTCCATCAGTGTAAATTTCTCAGCACCAGTGTCCCCAATTTCCCTCCCATCACCTCCCCCCATTCCCAACCTGCCTCTATGGCAAACATTTTTCTTCTCTCTTTTTCATGTTCTCTCTCTCTCTCTCTCTCTCTCTCTCTCTCTCTCTCTCTCTCTTTCTCTCTTTCTTACACATTTTAATTTAGATAGCATTAGAGCACCAATCAAGTGACTCATTACCAAGTGATCAAAAGCCAAATGTTAAATCTGATTCATCTGTGGCAGAAATGGAAATTCCAAATTCAGTTTGCATGAATCTGGTGTTAACATTTAATCAACTGGCAATTTCTCTTGATTTACAAAACAAATGATTCAAACCCCAAGGGGTAGTCCACATTACCAGCGTTATTTAGATCTTTTAAGTATTAAAATCCTGAAACTGACAAGTAAACTTACTTTGATTTTCATTAGACATTCTAGAGAGTCACAGATTCTTTTAAGGGGGCGTGGTGGGTGCCTGGTATCAAACCCAGGACTTCACACATGCAAATCAAGTGTGTTATGTCTGAGCTACCACCTGGCTCCAGTCAGGCTCCAAATGTTAACCACTAGCCTGTGCTTCTTAATTTATCAAGTTATCTCAACGCATATCATATATAATATGAAGCAGACTTTTCAGATATACTGATGACATGTTCTTTACGTATTTCCAGCACTAAATAGTCTATTGCGTTTGTCTAAAATAAAGTATGGCATTAAATCACTTTGGGCATAGCTGATTAATGTTCAGATTGATATTCAGTTAGACTCTTGTTGAAACTTGACAATATTTGCAGTTGAGAGCCATCATACTCTGGCTCTTTTTTGTGGTTTAGTTAAATTACAAAGCATTTTGCACTGAAGGTCTCTAGGGTAATATAGATATAATTAACGCCTTAATTTTAATTCTACAAATACCAAAAGTTCACAGAAACCATTCCATAAATAGAAAGATGGCTGCCACAAAGAATGAGCCTTTACTTTGAATTTGTTTTCTATTCAAAGAATTCAGTTCTTTGTCTTTGTACGCTATGAATGGACCTAAATAAAAATGAAGTTAGGGGCTGGAGTTATAATACAACAGGTAAGGCACTTGCCTTTCATGCAGCAAACCCAGATGGTCCCCAGAATACTACCAGAATTAATTCCTGAGCACAGAGACAGGAGT